CCCAATCCCAGTACTCGGGAGGCTGAGCAGGGAGAGATCCCTTAAACGCAGGAGGCAGAGGTTGTCAGTGTAGTGGATTGCACCACTGCAGATCCAGCCTGGATGGCTGATAGAGCTAAGACTGGTTTCTCAGAAAAAAAAATAAAAGAATGGTGGGCCATGCTTGCTTTGCAGCAGCATATACAAATGGGAACATACAACGAGGATTAGCATGGCCCATTTGCTCAAAGGGATGAACTAAAATTCGTAAGTGTCCATAGAAAGTTTAAGGATTTTTAATTCTTTTTTTAAAAAAAGAAAATGAGGCCGAGGTTGCACATGGCTCACACCTGTAATCCCGAGCACTTTGGGAGGTCGAGGCGGGTGGTAATCACAAGGTCGGGGATCGGAGGTACCATCTGGGCCAACATGTCGGTGGAACCGGTCTCTACTAGCACAGCATACAAAAAAGTTAGGCTGGTGTAGGTAGCAGCGAGCGCTGTCAGCCAAGCCTCAGGAGGCTGAGGACAGGAGAATCGCGTTGAACCTGGGGCGGAGCTTGCAGTGAGCAGGTTAGCCGCCACTGCATCATCCCTGGGCGGCAGAGCGAGCTCGTGTCTAAAAAAAAAAAAAAACAAAACAGAGACTGGGCGTGGTGGTTCACTGTATCTCGCAATTTGGAGGGTAAGATCACACCTGTAATCTCAGCACTTTGGGAGGCTAAGGTGGGAGGATTGCTTGAGCCCAGGAGTTTGAGACCAGCCTGGGCTACATAAGGAGACCCTGTCTCTATTGATGTTAAATAAAAAAAAAGAGCCATAGAGTCCCCAAAGAGCCTAGATCAGTTGGTGATCATCTTACCCCTTGGGTGGACAACCAATGCCCTGAAACTGGCCTATATCGTCTGAGAAGGAAGATGACAGATGGCCTGGCTGGTCGTTAGGCTCCTGTTGCTTTTAAGCTGAGTTGGTGGCTCTGCCTTTTATTTATTTATTTATTTATTTATTTAGAGACAGAGTTTCACTCTTGTTGCCCAGGCTGGAGTGCAATGGTGCGATCTCGGCTCACTGCAACATCCGCCTCCCGGGTTCAAGCGATTCTCCTGCCTCAGCCTCCTGAGTAGCTGGAACTACAGATGCCCGCCACCACGCCCGGCTAATTTTTGTATTTTCAGTAGAGACAGGGTTTCAGCATATTGGCCAGGCTGGTCTTGAACTCCTGACCGTGTGATCTACCCGCCTCGGCCTACCAAAGTGCTGGGATTACAGGCATGAGCCACCGCGCCCAGCTGAATCTGCCCTTTTTTAAAGGCATACGAGACCCATCAGATGAGGCACCTAGCTCAACGGAAGTCATGTCCCTGGCGAGCAGAGGGAGTGGAAATGTTATTCCAGCAGGAAAACTCTACAGGGGAGAAGAAAGAGGGACTCAGGCAAGTGGATGCAGGTGAGCACATCGCCTTGGATCCAGGCTTTTCGAAAGACCTGAGGAGCCGTAATGTGTTATCTATGGCTGTGTAACAAATTACTCCAAAATGACAATTACTCAAATGACAATAAACATGTATTATCTTACGTAATAAATTATCTCACATAGCTCCTGTGGGTGAGGAATTCGGGGGTAGCTTAGCTGGGTGGGTCCGGCAGGGCTCTCCTCAGGTTCTAGCGAAGGTGTCAGCTGGGGCTGCAGGATCTGAATGTTTGAACGGGGCTGGAAAGTCAGCGCTGGCTGTGGGCAGGAGGCCTCAGTTCCTGAGCTGCTTCAGTGTTCTCATGACACGGCAGCTGCTTTCCCCAGGACGAGTGATGTGCGAGGAAACAAAATGAAAGCTGCCATGTTTTTGATGACCTCGTCTTGGAAGTCTCACACTTCTGCCACATTTTCATCAAAAGCAAGTCATTAAATATGGCCCCACTCAAAAGGGGAGAGAAAGTAGGTATCATTTTGTTTCCTTTTTTTAATCACGGCTGCAGTTAAGGGAAGGAATCATTTTTTGAAGAAAGGTATGTCAAACAATTCATACTGTATTTATTTATTATTTCTTGCTCTGTCACCCAGACTGGAGTGCAGTGGCGTATTCATAGCTCATTGCCAGCTCAACTCCTGGACTCAAGTGATTCTCCTGATGGCAGCAGGTGGCCCATCTGGAGCGGCTACTGCCATCACGCCGGCTGCAGCAGGGAGGCATGGCCAGGGCTGCACACTCCACAGGACCGGTGGGAGCCAGAGACAGGTGGGAGCCCAGTCCCTTTCGAGTTGGTGGGGCGGGAGCTCCCCAGGTGCAGCTGCCCAAATTGTGGCTGCAGATCTGGGCCTCCCGCTCCAGGTAGCAGGCAGGAGCCCCGCCCCTCCCCACCTTGGACACAGCTGCAGCTGCCCAAACCGCAGCTGCAGACCGAGGCATCCCTGCACTCTTGGGGGCCCCGCCAGCCCTCATGGGCTCAGAAGCGCCTGCTCTTGCTGTCTGGCTTCTCCCTGCTGTTGGCACCTGCTCCAATCTCAGAGCAAAGTTGGGGCTGAGCCTGGGTGCTGTCACAGCCTGGCCAGGTGTGCACATACTCAAAGCAGTGCTGACACACCAGTCCCCGGCCATCTCAGCCCCCTCCAGACTTTGGGTGCTGACAAGAATAAGAGGGAAGCCAATGGGAGACTGAGGGCAGCTCGATGCCGGCCTGCAGGCACCTCTTGGCACCTACAGCCTGGGCACCATGAATGGGAACAGGAGGCAGACACATTCCTGGGTGGAAGGGGATAGGTCCTTGGTGAAGCCCCACCTTCAGGCCTGGGAGGTCCTGAAGGTTGGGGGCCAGGCTGCCAGGCCCACAGACTGGAGTCGGAACTTGTGCTGCCTTTTCCGGGCCTGCCCATGCGCATGGGGTCTGGACACTGTGCACAGTCAGGCGTGCTGACTTTTTTTCAGTAGAGATGAGGTCTCACTATATGTGCCCAGGCTGGCCTTGAACTCCTGGCCTCAAGTGATCCTCTCACCTCAGCCTCCCAGGTGTGAGCCACCATGCCTGGTCGATAATATTTTTAAACCACCATAGCCCTGAATTGCTTTGTAAGAGGGAGTTCCTGGGGCCGGGGGTGGTGGCTCACGCCTGTAATCCCAGCACTTTGGGAGGCCGAGGTGGGCGGATCACGAGGTCAGGAGACTGAGACCATCCTGGCTAACACGGTGAAACCCCGTCTCTACTAAAAATCCAAAAAATTAGCCGGGCATGGTGGCGGGCACCTGTAATCCCAGCTACTCGGGAGGCTGAGGCAGGAGAATGGCATGAACCCGAGAGTGGAGCTTGCAGTGAGCCGAGATGGCGCCACTCACTCCAGCCTGGGCAACAGAGCGAGACTCCATCTCAGAAAAAAAAAAAAGAGGGAGTTCTTTTTCTGTGGAATTAAATCTAGACAAATACCCAGATCCCATTATCATAAGGTGAGGGACTTGGATAAGAAGTAATTTCCTTTGCAATTATGCCCTATAACACAATCAGGGCCAAAGAGAAAAATGCAGGAATCCACTGGGGGGCTCTGGAAAAGCTCTTGCTTTGTCCTTCAATGTTCGTGACTTAAGCACTGGCACGATGGCTGGAGCTGCAAAAGCTTTCCCGCAGACACAAGCAAAAGGCCAAGTTATCGCTCTGACCTCACTGGACCAGTACCAGCCTGCCTTCTTGTTATGTAACAGAAACAGGCTGGGCGCGGTGGCTCACCCTGTAATCCCAGCACTTGGGAGGCCGAGGCGAGTGGATCATGAGGTCAAGAGATTGAGACCAGCCTGGCCAAGATGGTGAAACCCTGTCTCTACTAAAAATACAAAAATTAGCCGGGCGTGGTGGCGTGGGCCTGTAATCCCAGCTACTTGGGAGGCTGAGGCAGGAGAATTGCTTGAATCCGGGAGGCAGAGGTTACAGTGAGCTGAGATCGCACCACTGCACTTCAGCCTGGCGACAGAGTGAGGCTCCATCTCAATAAAAAAAAACAAAAAACAAAAACCCCAGAGAAACAGTCTTCAATCACTAAAGCCTCTGGTATTCAAACGTTCTGTTATTCGCAGCCAAAAGCATTCCTGACTAATGCCATTGACATGGTAGCAGGTTGGGGGAATGAGGGAAGAAAGGAATAAGTTGTTAGCGTTTGTGTTTTTTTTTTTTTTTTTTTTTTTGACAGACAAGGTCTTCACTCTAGTTCCCTTCTGAAATAAATAAATGAAAATGTTAAAAAAAAAAAAAAAAAAAAAGAGGAGAGAGAGACAAAGCCTTGCTCTCTTGTCCAGGCTGGAGTACGGCAGTGTGATCATAGTTCGCTGTAACCTCCAGCTCCTGGGCTCAAGTCATCCTTCCAGCTCAGCCTCCTGAGTAGCCAGGGCTACATGTGTGTACCACCCCACCTAGTCATTCTTCAAACGTTTTTGTAGAGACAAGGTCTCCTATGTTGTCCAGGCTAGTCTTGAACTCTTGGTCTCAAGGCATCCTCCGGCCTTGGCCTCCCAGAGTGATGGGATTAGAGGTGTGAGCCACAGCCACAGCTTTTGCTTTTTTTCTTTTTTTGGAGACAGGGTCTCCCTCTGTTACCGAGGCTGGAGATTATGGCTCACTGCAACCTCAACCTCCCAAGGCTCAAGCGATCCTCCTGCCTCAGCCCCCTGAGTAGCTAGGACAAGAGGTGCACACCACCATACTGGGCTAATTTTTGTATTTTTAGTAGAAACAGAGTTTTGCCGTGTCGGCCAGGCTGGTCTCAGACCCCTGAGTTCAGGCAATCCACTCACCTCAGCCTCCCAAGTGCAGGGATTACTGGCTTAAGCCACCATGCCTGGCCAGCTTTTGAATTTTAAAACCTAAGCCTCAGGTGGGTCCAGCAAAACTCAGGCTATAGCCAGGCGCCATGGCTTATGTGTATCTCAGTGCTTTGGGAGGCTGAGGTGGGAGAATCCCTTGAGGCCAGGAGCTTGAGGCTGCAGTGAGCTATGATCATGTTACCACACTCCGGTCCAGGTGACAGAGTGAGACCCTTGTCTCAAACAACAACAACAACAACAACAACAACAACAACAAAAAGGCTATGGCCGATAGATTTGGTAGAACTAATGACAAGTAAACAGGCTACCCCATCCTCAGACTACATAAAGATTCCCTGGTCTGGGAATAATAACAGGTTTTTTCATTGTTATTTTTCCTATGGTGCTGATAAAAATAATAAAAATTAAATTGTTAAACTGAGTTATAGAAAAATACAATTATATTTCCTGTTACATGAGTTTGTGTATGAAGATACACACTTCCAATATAGCAATTCTCATTTGATTGAAAATGTTATTTCTTTCTTACCTTTTGATGTCTTACTATTACAGTTTTCTCTGCATGTCCATGGGGAATTGGTTCCAGGACCTCACTTGGATATCAAAATTTGAGGATTAGCCAGGCGCGGTGGCTCACGTTTGTAATCTCAGCACTTTGGGAAGCTGAAGCAGGCAGATCACTTGATGTCAGGCGTTCGAGACCAGCCTGGCCAACATGGTGAAAACCCATCTCTACTAAAAACCCCAAGAAATTAGCTGGGGCCTGGTGTGGTGGCTCATGCCTGTAATCCCAGCACTTTGGGAGGCCAAGGTGGGCCTGAGGTGGGCTGAGATTACCTGAGGTCAGGAGTTCGAGACCGGCCTGGCCAACATGGTGAAACTCCATCTCTAATAAAAATACAAAAATTAGCCGACATGGTGGCGGGTGCCTGTAATCCCAGCTACTCGGGAGGCTGAGGCAGAAGAATCACTTGAACCTGGGAGGCGGAGGTTGCAGTGAGCCAAGATCATGGCACAGCACTCTAGCCTGGTTGAAACAGGGCAAGACTCTATCTAAAAAAAAAAAAAAAAAAAAAAAAAAAAATTAGCCAGGCTTGGTGGCAATCACCTCTAATCCCAGCTACTCAGGAGGCTGAGGCAGGAGAATCGCTTGAACCCGGGAGGCAGAGGTTGCAGTGAGCAGAGATTGCGCCAGGGCACTCCAGCCTGGGACACAGAGTGAGACTCTGTCTTACAAAACACACACACACACAGACACACACACAAACACACACCCCAAAATCTGAGGATGTTCAAACCCCTGATATAAAATGTGTACTATTTGCATACAACCTACATACACCTTCCTGTGTACTTTAAGTCATGTCTAGGTTACTCAGGGTACCTAATAACAACATGCACACTGGCCGTGTGTGGTGGCTCACGCCTGTAATCCCAGCACTTTCAGAGGCCGAGATGGGTAGAACACTTGAGGTTAGAAATTCGAGACCAGCTTGGGCAACCTGGCAAAACCCTGTCTCTACAAAAAATACAAAAATCAGACCAGGTGCAGTGGCTCATGCCTGTAATCCCAACACTTTGGGAGGCCCACGTGGGCAGATCACCTGAGGTCAGGAGTTTGAGACCAGCCTGGCCAACATGGTGAAACCCCATCTCTACTAAAAATACAAAAATTAACCAAG